GATTTTTGTCATTAGATAAGGGGGGGTCGATAGGTGTATTTGTCCCGAATTGACATGCATATTTGATGGTAGTATGAGAGAATAAAATATGACAAACAAATGTTCAACAAAGTAAAAATTTCAACAGATTTTCATTTATATGACTTGATACTATAATTAATGATTCAGGTGAATGTATTGAAATACAGGAATGTTTATGAATATTTATTAATAATTTCAAAATATTTCAAAATAATGATAAATGTATGCAATATATTGAATCATTATCAAATGATCGTTTTGTATTAATTATTAATGATTGTCTAAGAAAAAAATTTATTTCAAATGTACATCATTTACGACAAGTTTATTCAATATATATATTTATAGTTCTGATAAAATAAGAAATAAGCGATGGATTAAACAATATCCAAAAATGAAAAGTTTTATTGTTAAATTCGATGAATTAATATTACAAAGACGTTCTTATCAAGAACAATCTAGTCAAATAAAGATAAATAAACCACTATGAATAAAATTTTTTTGTAAAAATAATGAATTGAATGATAATTTTATTTACTCACAATTATTAAATGATTATCTTTTACAGATTAAATCAATATCAAATCGCCAAAATGAGTTAAATATTATAGGTGAATTTGAAAACGATTGTCCATCTAATCGAACATTGAGAATTGTTCGATAATCATCTAATCAAATAATATATCTCGAAAATATCACATTTCAGTACTATGTCTGACGATTATTAACGAGATAGAAGTAAGATTATCAAGTCTACTAATTTTCAATTATATTGTATATCTTTCAAGTTTATGAAATTTTCAATCAAGTGAAAAAAAACCAATCTGCTGGACTAGGCATGGACTGAACTCGAACGTTCGGATTCACCGTTGAATGCAATCATTTTCAGTCCATTAATAAGCGAAAGTAGAAGGTGCAAGAAAGGATTTTAGACTTGCCGATGGTAGATCTATACATTATGGAATAAATTATCCAAAAACTGAAGACTACAGACATCTTAAGAAATATCAGCAATGTTCAGAAACACTCGAACTCGAGTACTAAATCAGAGTTTGGATTCAATGCATGTCTATACTGAACACAACATCAAAAATTTGGAACTATCCACTGTATATTATTGTTTTTGGAATCTTTTAATCAGTATGAAGATGAAGCAAACGCTAGAATAAATGATGAAGAGTGACCGATTAATATTCGCACTTGTTTATTTACTTCTTTATTTCTTCTTTTTACATTAGTTCAAGATTCCTCTCAATCGTCATTTTTTCGCTAACATTGTCTATAGTTTGCATAACTAATTTTGGTTTCTGTTTTTTTTTGATTAAGTCTTTCTTTCATTATCAATTATTCAAGATTTTAGAATAGAGTCAAACTGCTACTATAATTTGTTGGAGAATATGTTCAGAGTATAAATAAAGCCAGTAATAGTATAGACCTGATACAATTCTATTGAGTGCTAATTTCAGATAAAACTAATGAATTGTAATATTCATCAGAATAACAATATATTCTTCTATTCATATCATGGGTTTCACTAATATTAATGCTTTTACATGGAAACATGTTTTATAATTGAGAAATGTTCTATATCTTTAATGACTAAACATTATGAATCAAATTTTGGAAAAAAGTTGTCTTCTGCAATGTTTTCATTACTTTGGTAACATTAGTAACAGAATCAACAGAACTCTCTTATTTTGTTTATAATATACAGTTTCTAAAAATGATCTTTCCATAGAATTCAAACCATACACTATCTGCTATTCTAAACAACATGCTATCACTATATTCGAAAGAACTACTTCTATATCAGTTTAGGATTGTAGCAGTATACTATGATTCTAGAAAAAAAAACTGTAACAATAAGGATGATAAAAACATTCGACTGATATGAAAGCTGTTGTGCTATGGAACAAAAACACTTCTATATATATATATATATATTATTTAATATAATTAGAACTGAATTCTTTCAGTTATTCTTTTGAGAAGAACTCACACTATTCGATATTCTTATCTTTATTTGTCATAAACATACATTGAAAGAATCTTCTAATTTCTAAGAAATGGATGAAAAATAAGATAAAAACTAATGGCATATTTTTTTGAATATTTTCTTATGATGGTATACAAGAGAAACATTTATTTATCATTTATTAAATAAAGCCTTTCGTATACAAAATATTGATGTATTATTAATATTTCACTTTTTATACATGATATTCAACAATTAATTATAAAAAATAAATGTACAAAATCACTGTGTTTATAGAAGTTCTTTAATGTCAAATGATGAAATTCAATTATTTAAAAATTCTATAGGAGAATTTATAGGAATAAATAGGTTTTTTCTAACAAATCTTCATCGACAACAAGCATTATTTTATCTATACGATAATGATATAACAAAGGATTATGAAAAAGTTCTATTTGAAATTTCTATTGATCCAAATAAATCATATTGTTATATAACATCATTTAATAATTTTTTAAATGACGAAAAAATACTTTTTACATTAGGCCCAATATGTCGTTTAGTTAATATACAACAACAAGATTATGGAAAAATTTAAATATGAATTATTCGAATGAAATTATCAAATGATAAACATAGTCGATTTAAAATTTTATTTGAAAATATTAAATACCAATATAATATAGAACAAATGAATTTTCTTTCATTAGGAAAAATTTCAAGAAAAGTGAATCAATTTGATGATGCTGAAAAATTTTATCAACGTTTATTAAAAGAATTACCATATGATCATTCAAATATAGTTGATTGTTATTATAGTTTAGAAATTATTATTGATGAAAAAGGAGATTATGAATCAAGCTTAGAATGGCATGAAAAATCAATTGAAATTAAAAAACAAACACCAAAAAAATGAATGATCCAAGTATTAGCTACAGTTACAATAGTATAGCTAATGTCTATCAAAAAAAAAAAAGGTGATTATAAACGAGCATTAGAATATTATAATAAAACGTTAAGTATTTGGAAAAAAATTTTTAGTGAAAATGATCTTGATATTGCTATGTGTTTAAATAATATTGGCTGTTTATATGAAAATGAAAAAAAATATTTAGAAGCACTTGAATATCATCAAAAAGCTTTAATAATAAAAAATTTTCATTTACCTAATAATCATCTTAATTTAAGTGTAACATATAATAATCTTGCTACTATTTATGATTGTATTGGTCAATTAGATTTAGCATTAGAACATTTTAATTTATTATTAAAAATTAAATCAAAATCTCTTCTAATAAATCATCTTGATATAAGATTAACATTGGAAAATATTGGTTTTATTAATGAAATGAAAGGTGATTTTTCACAAGCGAAATTATTTTATGAAAAAGCAGCTCTGATTCGTCATCATATTTTATCATCAACACATTGTGATGTTATTCAAATTGAACAAGATATTAAACGAATTTTAATGAAAATTAAATGAAATATTTACTAAATGAAAAAAATTTCGTATTACTTTATAGTTATTTCATTAGACGCGTATACACATTTTTGTTTCGATAACATAAAAGATAAAAAAAAACTAAGATATTTTATGACTCATAATGTCTATAAACATTTTTATCATTTTTATTTTTAATGACATAATTCACATTTTACATATATCTTATTTCGCAGAATTATATTTCATAATCTACTAATGATATCAATTTTCTTTTTTTCGAATATTTCGGTAGATTTTTTTTTTTAAACAGAATGAATACTTGAATGTATTTCAATAGATAAATAATATTATATTATGTTATTAATTGTTAAATAAGAGAGCATTAATTATTTTATATGAAATTTACAAATCATGTATACATACTATTTGATAAATCTTACATAATCCATAGTTAAAGACAATGACAATCAAATATTAGCTTAAGTTTAAAGGTTTTGCTTTTATTTTAAACAAAAGAAATAGTATATTTCATATTTCTCATTCTTTGAGACAAGTTTTCTGCACTTATTAGGCATATTTTTCCTCTTCAGTAATATCTTCTCATGCTAAAAAGTATACAGAAGAAGAATACCCTTGCCTTTCGGCAACCTTGCGGTATAGGGTGCTTATCTAGCCTTGGGTTCAATATCCCGATATCTTTCCTATAATTAATACTAACTGTAGCTTTCAACAGAAACTAGCTCAACACAGAGCTCAGTTGCTTGAGCTTTCCATACACACTAGCTACAAGAGCAGATATATGTCACAATGTAGTCAGCATGCTATCAAACGGGTGACCCGAAATAAAAGCAACTATTAGTGACCTGTCCATAATCATTTCATGCTTGGTGAAATCAAGATTTCAATACAGTACGTTGTGGATACATATCGAATCACGTAAGCACTTAAGAGAAAAGTCCTCGAACTGTTCAATCGCTTTTGAAGTGAGACTATGTGCACTATGTAGATTCAACTGAGCTATGAGAATCTTGAATAGAATTCGTGCTCTTAGTTTATTCCTGTGGAGACACTAGACTTTTATGGTAGTAATTATTTAAATCATAGTGTGGCCCTTCAGAAACATCGAGAAATCTGATATTCGAATTTCGGGCTTAAAACTTGGCATATGATAAAAGCGTATCTTTTATATCACTCATATAAACCGATCGATTCGATGTTCTTATTTTAGGATAGAAACAAATCAAAAGACTTGAAAACTTTCACAATAAATTATACTGATTAAGGCCTGTTTCTATGCATAGTTTCAAGTCAAAATTTGAAAATTAGTTTTTCTAATGTTCCTAAGGAGCGTCATGACATTTATTTTAAAATATCATAAAATTGCAGTATCTGCGCAGCAATAAACTAAAAGCATAAACTCTTCAGAATATTCATAGTTCATTGAGATCTACATAATGCACATAGTCTCGACTCAAAAGTGATTGAACAAGTGGAGGACTTCCCTCATCAACCATAGCAGCAGGATTGCTAAACTTTCCAAAATGGCAGGAATAATTCCGAATTTTTTTCGAGTTGTTATATTTGACTAAATTCGAGTTTTTATGATTTTGATTATAACTTTGAAATTAACTGGTTCTTACACTTAATGCAACTTCGTTATACTATTGTAATCATTATATTACACGGAGCTTGAAGGCTACTAACAGTACACACTCTTGTGAATCGAAAACCTTTCCAAACTAAATTGAACAAATTAGCCATATGAATAAACAATTTCGTTAATATAAACTAAATTTCAAATTTAAGACTAAAAGTTTTCATATGATAAATTCTAATATGTTAAACTAAATTAGATTCAGTCGTGATTGAATGAGTTTAAGGATTCGTATACAAGTAAAATTGAATAAGAAAATAACAACTGAACAAAAATATGTACAAGTTCAAGGATAAAATGAAATATCCTTTTACATAAAATCTTATTAATCTATTAATATTATAATCGATTCATTAAAACATATCGATTGACTACTAATTATTTTCATTCAAGAATTTTCTTTTTAACATACGAATTAATCAAATAATATCTTTTGTTCAATATATAATATTCATTTTTGAAAAAACAAAAATCTTTATATACACAATAAATGTTTCATTTCGTTTTTTTTTTCGTATTTTTTTTTAATATTCATATTATTATAAATAAGAAACACACAAAAGGCAAATAATATATATATATGTATGTGCGAATGAGGTTGTAGTAATTAAGCGCCGCACATCATCAATATGATCACTGTGTGTGAAGGTAGATTTAAAGAACAAAGAAAAAGAGAGAGAGAGAGAGAGAAGAGGCAAGGAATGACAAGACAAGACAATAATACACACACATAAACACACGAAAGAAAACTAAAGTTCGCACATATTTTTTTTTTTTCATATTAAAGAAATTGCCATTCAAGTGCATGAATAAGTGCTGTAAGATTTTGATGTTCACTAACACGCCAAAATGGCCATGCAAGCTAAAAAAA